AAAAAGAAAAAAGCCTGAGGCTAAAGCCTGGATTTTCTCCTGACTCTGTTGCTATTTGTCCTGTGGTCTTGGGCAAGTTACATAACCTCTCTGGGCCTAAATTTGGCTGTTGTAAAAAGTTACGAGAGCCAGACCAGGCCCCCAGCCTTCCCTGGCTTCCCTCACTCTTGTGCCATCTTGGCGATTTTTGCCACTTGCCCTCTACCAGCTGTAATTTTATTTGCCTTCAAATTAACTCGCATTAATTGAAATTGATTTAGAAAGGAGTTTTATATCATACTATACGTAAATGGAAAATTAGATTTGCCAGGATCAGATTACCATAAAAATGAATACAATTAAAATTATAATGTTGTTAAATCCTGTCAGATACTTTTGCCTGCCAAGGCTTAGAGCCTGAAATTCATCCTCTTTTTATTTTTATTTTTATTTTGAACTAAGTGGCTTTTTCATTAGAGAAAGCCAGAATTACAAAGGACTAAAGAGTTGGCATTGAGGCCCTTCTTCTTGCCAAAGGTGGGCACGTTGACAAAGCGCTGGTTGGACTGCATCAGCCACTTCTTCTTCCTCCTCCTCCTCCTCCTCCTCCTCTTCTTCTTCTTCTTCTCCCTCTTCCTTCTTCCTTCTCCTGTGTGGCCACCTTAGGAGTCTGACCTCTCACTTTCCCAGCACGGGCTAGGGAACCATGGACTTTACCTCTAAGCATGCGGCCTGCTACTTCCAAGGAGGCCAGGGTCTCCACCCAGCACTGTCCCAGGGTGGCTTCATCCTCCAGGGGCATGCCTGCCAGGAGCATGACTTGATCTTCTGGGGCAGTGCGCTCCAGTGAGGCCACATGAGCTTTGATCTGGGCGACCATCTCCTGGCCGGTCACCTCTAGTCACCCTCTCTTTTTTAAAAAGGGAAGTGAGCCAATGCCAGAGGTGCCAAGGGCAGGCTGCCACCACCCTGGGACCCCACACCCTCCTGTATTCATCAGAGGGCTTGGAAGAGTGTGGGAAAGGCCCTACCTTGAGTCTGCACCATCTGAGTCAGCTGGGGCTACTCCTGGCTCTCCTGGTTGAGAAACTGGTGCCTCTGGCAATGATCTGCTGAGTGTTTAACACCAGGGCAGCAGATTCTTTACTGGTGTTTTTCTACAGGTTAAACAGGAAGATTTATTGCCGGTTAGAGGGGAGAAAGTTTGCCCTTTGGCTAATTCAAACACCCTCCCTCACAACTGCTTTGACCTCTGGGCTTGGACTGTGACTCCGCCCCCCACGCTAGATCTTTGAGATCTTGGATGCCCCCCAGGCCCACGCTCAGAGCCTACAACTGCTGCCCTCTCATCGGTTTCTGTCCCTCCCCTCGGCCTCTCTGTCTCATCTCCGAAAGGCTGTGAGTACCTGGGGGAGTCCTACCTGAGTAATCAGGAGTTCCCGGATCCCCGAGAACCCTGCCACCGGTGTACCTGCCTTGGAGGCTTCGTGACCTGCGGCCGCCTGCCCTGTGAGCCTCTGGGTTGCAGCCACCCACTCATCCCATCTGGGCACTGCTGCCCAACCTGCCAGGGTAGGGCCACACCTGCCCTTCCATTCCCCCTGCTGGGGCTCCCCGGGGACAAGCCTCCCACATCAGCCCTCCCTTGAGACAGACACATGCAGGCACTCTCGCCCAGGCTTCCCCAGGTGCCTCTCACCCACCCTGCTCTCCTCCCAGCCCTCCCACTGCCTGCCGACCCCACCCCACCGTACTATTCTCTCACTCTCTGATTCCCTCACCCACAATAGAGGTCCCAGGCAGGGCTGTGTGTGTGTGTGTGGGGGGGCCTGTATGTGTGTGTGTGGCTGTGTGTGTCTGTATGTGTGTATGCATGAGTGTGTGGCTCATGCTGTGTGTGTGTGGCTGTGTGTGGGGCTGTGTGTATGTGTGTGTGGGGCTGTGTGTGTACGTATGTATCTGTGTTTGGCTGTGTGTGTGTGTGTGTACCTGTGTGTGTTATTCTGTGTGTGTTTGGCTGTATCTGTGTGTGACTGTGTGTATGTGTGAGTGTGTGTTGCTCTATGTGCGTGGCCATGTGTGTATGTGCATATGTGTGTGTCTGTGTATGTGTATGTGTGTGTGGGGCTGTATGTGTGTGTCTGTATGTGTGTGTGGCTGTATATATGTGTCTGTGTGTGTGGCCATGTGTGTATGTGTGTGTGTAGCAGTGTATATGTGTGTGTTGCTCTATGTGTATGTGTGTGTGTCCCTATGTGTGCGTGTGTGTATGGCTGTGTGTGTGTGTGTGTCTGTATTTGTGTCTGTGTATGAGGGTATGTGTGGAGGGGTGTGTATGTGGTGTCTGCGTGTGGGTGTATGTGCACTTCTGTGTATGTGGGTTTGTGGGTGTGTGAGTATGTGGATGTGTGTATGTGTGTGTTTGTGGGAATGTGGGTGTGTGTAGGTGTGTTTTTGTGTAGCTGTGTGTGGGTACGTGTGTGTCTGTCTATGTGTGTCTGTGGTATGTGTATGTGGGGGGTGTCTGTGTGTGTATATGTGTGTGTGTGTATGTGGTGTGTGTGGCTGTGTGTGGGGGAGGGCTGTGTGTGTGTGTGACAGTGGAGGTTCTGTTGATGGCCACTCTTCTGTTGCACTCCCCGCTGCTGTGTGTGTGGGTGTGTATGTGGGTGCTGTGTGTGTATGTGGGTGTGGGTGTGTGTGGGGGGGAGGGGCTGTGTGTGTCTGTTGTTCTGTTGATGGCAGCTGTTCGGTTGCACTCTCCACACTGCCAGGATGCCTCTACCATGGCGTCACTGCTGCCTCTGGAGAGACCCTTCCTGACCCACTGGACCCCACCTGCTCCCTCTGCACCTGCCAGGTGAGGCGGTCCCTTTGGGACCTTGGTAAGCTTTCCTCCCTTGATCCTCCTCTCTGGCCAAGAAGAGACCATCTCCTCCACTCAGGTGGCAAGGGGTACACTGTGCCTTGACATCTCATGGGACAGGACTGGGCTCAGGTCTCCCAGGCCAAGGGTGGGGGCTTGGGCCCCTGCAGCTCAGTAGAGGCTCCAGCCCTGGGGAAACGTGCAGTCCAGTTGAGGGGTGTGATGGGTCTCTCTCCCCCAGGAAGGTTCCATGCGCTGCCAGAAGAAGCCATGTCCCCCTGCTCTCTGCCCCCACCCCTCTCCAGGCCCCTGCTTCTGCCCTGTTTGCCACAGTGAGCTGCCTTCCTCGTGCCCGACGCCCATGCCCTTCCCCATATCTCCCTCCCCGTTTCCTTCCTGCCAAGCCTAAGGTTGGGCCGAACAGGGCAGGGCGGTACAGGCTCCCCCCCCAGGAGATGTGTCCCTCACAGGCTGCGTCACTCAGGGTCAGGAGCACCAGGATGGGGAGGAGTTTGAGGGACCAGCAGGCAGCTGTGAGCGGTGTCGCTGTCAGGTATGGCAGGAGGTAGGGGCGTGGAGTGGCACCTGGATCATGTCACCTCTGGGCCCCAGCCTCGGCAGCAAGCCAGTGTCCCTGCATCTCCTACAGGCTGGCCAAGTCAGCTGTGTGCGGCTGCGGTGCCCACCCCTTCCTTGCCAGCTCCAGGTCACCGAGCAGGGGAGCTGCTGCCCTCGCTGCAGAGGTATAGCCAGCCCCAGTCCCACCCCTGGCTTCAGCCCCTTGGCCCAGTGTCCCTGTGTCCACCCCAACTCCCTCCCCTCAGCCAGCTCTTCTCCCATCTCCCTGCCCCCCACAACTGTCCCTTGCACAACCTTGCCACCTTCAGCTTCTCCTGCCTCTTCCTGTCCTGGCCTGCACAGACCATCCCCCTTCCAGGTGCTGGTTAGAGTTCCCTCAAAGCTGCCTTTCTTGAGCTAGGTGTGGCGGCTCACACTTGTAACCCCAGCACTTTGGGAGGCCAAGGTGGGAGGATCACTTGAGCCCAGGAGTTTGAGGCTGCAGTAAGCTGCATTTGCAGCACTGCATTCCAGCCTGGGAAACAAAGAAAACTGTCTAAAAATAAAATAAAAAGCTGCCCCTCTTTCTAACCACACCCCATTCATCATCATCATCATCATCACCACCATTATCAAGACACCTGACATTTAGTGAGCAGGTAGCATGAGCCAGGCCCTGTGCACTTTGCCTGTATTATCTCATTTAATCAGCACAACAACTTACCAGATAAGCACTCTTCTTCCTCCTATTTCACGGATGAGAAAGTGGAGGTACAGAGAGGTAGAGAAGGTGGCAGGTGGCTGGGTGCAGTGGCTCACACCTGTAATCCTAGCACTTTGGAAAGCTGAGGCAGGTGGATCACCTTAGGTCAGGAGTTCAAGACCAGCCTGGCCAACATGGTGAAATTCTGTCTCTACTAAAAATACAAAAATTAGCTGGACGTAGTGGCACATGCCTATGATCCCAGCTACTGGGGAGGCTGAGAAAGGAGAATCTCTCGAACCTGGGAGGTGGAGGTTGCAGTGAGCCCAGATCCCGCCACTGCACTCCAACCTGTGTATGAGAATGAGACTCCACCTCCAAAAAAAAAAGAAGAAGAAGAAGAAGAAGAAGGTGGCGGCAGAGTCAGGATGGGCATCAGGACCATCTGGCTCTGAACATGAACCTTTCTTAGCTTGCCCGCTGCCCCCTCGCCCCACACACAGCCCAGCATGGTGTTTCTACAGAACCACAGAACTGTTTTGGCATTTCACTTGCTCTGGGAGGGAGGCAAGGCAGAGGAAATCCTCACTTAACAGATGAGGAGACTGAGGTGCAGAGAGATTGAGTTACGTTGGGCACATGGTTAGCGATGGAGCCATTCATCTGGTTCACATGCATTTACGACACATCTGCTGCATGCCAGGTACTGTGGCCAGTGCAGGCTGTACTGGGCAGTGCCTGCTGCCTGGAGCTTGGTCTCGAGAGCAGGCAGGAACAGAACAGGATTAGAATCCAGGTGTTCTGAACCCTCCACAACAGCCAGCAGTCCTGCCCCATCCCACCTTCCTACCACATCCCTGCAGACCCCCCTCCTGGCACCACATGCCTAGGTGGTCACTGAGGGTGGGAGACCAAGAGCAGATGTCCAGATCTCAGCCTCCAAGCTCACCCCTGCCCACCTTGCACCGCAGGCTGCCTGGCTTATGGGGAAGAACACCCTGAAGGCAGTAGCTGGGTGCCTCCTGACAGTCCCTGCTCCTCCTGCGTGTGTCATAAGGGCATCGTCACCTGTGCACGCGTCCAGTGCATCAGCTCCTGTGCCCAACCCCACCAGGGGCCCCATGACTGCTGCCCTCGATGCTCTGGTACTGGAAGCCTGGGATGGGAGGGGAAAGCCAAGGAGGGAGCCCTGGGACCACACCTCTCTGTCTCTGCTGGGCCGGGTGGCAGAGACAGGCAGCTGGAGATGTGGCCTCTGTTCTTGGGAACACCCCACGCCCTGGGGCCTGGGGAGGCTGGAGACAGAGGACTCCACCCCGGTCTCACTATCAGGCCCTCTGGTCTCATTCTGCTCTCACCCCACCTCGAAGACTGTGAACATGAGGGCCGGAAGTACGAGCCCGGGGAGAGCTTCCAGCCTGGGGCAGATCCCTGTGAAGTGTGCATCTGTGAGGTGAGCAAGGGCACAGTGGAGGGCCTGGGGCACCTTGTGGGGTGGGGAGCGGACAGCATGGGATGAGGCCCAGCCAAACTGGACACTGGCTGGAGCGGGCACTCTGGGGACCAGACGAGCATATCCCTGCGGCCAGGAGGCGAGGCAGGCCCGGGGCTAACAGGGCCCCTCTTTCTAACCACACCCCATTCATCATTATCATCTGGGTCTGGGCTTAGACAAGGAGCCCAGGTTCCAAGTGTTTGGGAGGCCCTGGGTGGCCCCCTGGCTGCGGTGTGGGGCATATGGCTGGGGAGCCACCTGGGATGGGGCTGGGGGTCATATTGTGGAGATTCT